TTTCTTTGCTTCTGGCCTCATCTCTTTGGTCCTCTCTCAATGCTTTCTCTCTCTCCCTTTCCCTAATTTCCTCTCTTCCTTTTTCTCCTCCTATTTGTCCTTTCGTCCATCCCTCTGCCTCACCCTGAGCTGGGACAGTGATCACTCCCATTTTAAAAGACACTTTCCCCAATTCCAGCCACCATGTGCACACATCCACATATCTGAATGAATGGTTGTTTCCCTGCTCACACAACCAACCTCTCTTCAGGAACACAAGCATTTGATCCTTGTCACTTGGGAGCAGGAGAAACATGGCTGCTTCCCCTCACTGGAGTCAGATGCTGAGTAAACATAAAATTCATAGATGTTAGAGTTTCATGGTGAGCCTAAATTAAAAACAAACCCCAGAATTTATGCGAAGAGGTTAGAATTTGGTGGACTTTGAGGGTATTATGCTAAGTGAAATAAATCAGACAGAGAAAGACAAATACCATTTGACTTCACTTATATAAGGAATCTAAAAATGAGAGAAAAAAACAAGCTCATAAGACAGAAAGGTAAATACCATATAATTTCACTTATATGCAGAATCTAAAGAACAAAAAGAACAAACTAATCAAAAACAGACACAAATATAGTGGACAATTTGGTGATGGACAGAGGAGAGGGGCATTGGGGGTTGGGAGAATAGGGTGAAGGAATTAAGAAATACAAATTAGTAGTTGATAGTTGGTCACAGGAATGGGGAGCATGGCATAGGGAATGCAGTTAGCATTAATATGATGGCTAAGTGGAGGGCCGGGGGAGGGAGGGAACAATTTGGGGGAATGTTTTATGAACTATATAGATGTCTAACCAATGTACTGTATACTTGAAACTAATTTAAATAAATTTAATTTAAAAGAAAAAAGAAAGAAAGAAAAAGCAATCTCATAGACACAGAGAGATTGGTAATTGCCAGCGGTGGAAAGTGAGGGGTAGGTGAAATGGGTGAAGGGGGTCAAAAGGTACAAACTTCCATTTATAAAATAAGTAAGTCTTGGGGATGTTATGTACAGCATGGTGACTACAGTTAATAATACTGTGTCATATATTTGAAGTTGCTAAGGGAGTAGATCTTAGAGATTCTTGTTACAGGGGAAAAAATATATTTGTAACTGTGTAGTGAAAAACGTTAACTAAACTTATTATGATCATTTCACAGTATATACAAATATTGAACCATTATACTGTACACCTAAAACTAATAAGATGTTATATATTAATTATACTTTAATAAAAAAAAGAAGTTAAAATTTGATACACATCAGTTTACAGAGCACTTTCTGTACATATTTCACAACTCTGTGAACTCAGGTAGGTATCTTCTCATCTCCACGTACAGATCAGAAACCTGAGACTGAGAGAGATAAGAGAGATAAGCACTTGCTCCAAGTCACACGATCATCATGGTTATATCAGGATTCGATATTAGGTCCTCTAACAAGCCCCCATTAGTTACTGATAGTAGCTTACAGCAAAATAGAAGTGAGGCCTTTGCCCCAGAGATTGTCATCTCTGTTTAAAAGCCTTGCCACGAAAAGGCCTCAGGACAGGGCTATGCCTAGATATTCTTGAGCATCTCAGGGGTTCTTAGTCTGAGCCTTTGTCTACCTGCCTGCCTGTAAGTACTCATGATCATTTGTGTGTGCAAGTGCACACACACACACACCACTCAGCACATCCTGCCCCCTGCCCCTCCCCCAACCTCTTGCTCTGATTCTCACTAATTTTCATTACTTACCACCCATTTAGAGGCATAGAATTCAATGTCAGATGCCAAAAGTGAGCAACTGAGAGATGGGAATATGATCTCTTGCTCATTTTTTCCTCCATACTCCTTTTTCTAAGTGTCCTTAAACACACACACACACACACACACACACACACACACACACACACACACACACACCATTCCCTCCAAGTTAGCATTATAAACTTATGCAGATGCTGCAAATCCATCTCCAAGTGAGAGAGTCTCTTTATCACCGTCCAGTTCCATTTAGACAGAGGCAAATGAAGCTCTTTTTGGAGACTATCCTGAATCAACTTTTGTAAAGTCACCTTGGTATAAAATACCAGGAGGAGATTGTAGGCAATAACCAGAATTAGCCCAATGCGGAAAACTTTGTAGACATTTCTCCTGAGCATCATATTCTGTCTCTGGCTCTGCCACTCTCTGTGGGTCTGAGTGTATCACTGCCTAAGCAGACTGAGCTTTGTCTCCAGTGGCTGCATAGATGACACCTT